TCCGCCTGCTGGGCTGAGTCTGCGGCCCGGCGGGAGGCGCGTGTGCCCTGGCTGAGGAGCGGCCGCTGCTGTCCGCGGCCCCGCGCGCCTGGGTCGTCGCAGGTGCGTTTCCCGGGCCAGCCGGCCTCGGGCTGGGGACCAGAGCGGGCAGCCGCCGGGCGAGGGGGCTTCTGGGGCTCCGGGCTGCGTAAGTGCCGGGTGGCGGGAAACTGGGGAGAGATTTGAGAATTTTTCCTCCACCCACGAAAGGTGCACGCGTGCCTCGCAAGGCTTAGCTGTTTGCAGCCTGCACGGCCCTGGAAGGCAACGCGTTTGTAAGTCGCTGAGCACACTGGGGACATTGCACAGAGCGTTTGGAGCTCAGTGAAAGTTGTGGCAAACTTGTTTGTGAAAGTGACCAGTTGTCGGTCCTGCCCGAAGCCCAGGTGAGAACTCTTCTGGAAGGAGACAGAGACATTGAGAAACTCAGTTGCTTGGGTGTGACCGGCCTCAGAAGAAGTGGAAGGTGTGCACTGAGGGACTTCAGACAGCCCCCACCCGCCCCATAGTAACATCTACTAGCAGAAATAGAATTGCAGAGAGCTGCCTGGCAGGAAGGTACAGCCGGTGTGGACTTGTTTTCTTTCATATATATATATATATATATTAAAATGAGAGAAGCAGTCCTCCCGCCTCAGCTTTCTAAGTGCTGGACTTGGCTTGTGCCCCCACACCTGGCCTAGTGTGTGGGCCTTAGCTGGTCCCCAGACAGTTTTCCACCTTATTTAGAGTAGTGCTCACCTCGGCCATAGCTTTCCTCAAGAATTCCAGACAAACTCACATTCTCACAAAGTCTTGGTTTCGGGGTGACCCAAATGGCACAACACCTTATAAATATCAGAAGGGGCAGCTATAGAAATAGCTAACAGCTAGTTTAGTCAACTTGCATAAATAGCTATAGGAAGGAAGTTAGTAAGCTACACTGAACATTTATTGCATAAAACAAAACTTAGTATTTTGCATATGTTCCAAGTTTATGAAATGTGAGGTTTCTTTTTGCAGTTTGGAGGGTGATGGCAAAAAAGAGTTGTACTGGGACTGGGAACTTACTGGCTCTGGGCTCTGGGTCCCACAGCTGGTGCTAGTCGTCATATGAGAGCTGGGTGTCATTGCCTAATAGGTGTGGTGTGCAGCTTGCAGAACCTTGTGATGTGGGTGTTGAAACCCCTTGATGTTTCCTAGGGGCATTATGTCAAGTTGCAGCACTCCCTTGATCTTAAGAGCAATAACAGCAAAATTTAAAAAAAATTTTTCTTGAAAATAAGATAATATTACCTAAGAATAATGGGTGAAAAGGTAACATTTTGGAACTACATGTTGTCACATGCCCATAAGGCCAAGGCAGGAGGATCAAGACCAGCCTTCAGGCCAACCTGAACTATATAGTAAAACCCCCTCTCAAAAAAATCTGAAAATGTGATTTGTAGGAAAATGTATGAAACTAGAAACATGTGGTAAGCATGTACTGCTTTTTAAAAAGCCAATATAGTCATGCGCTTTCAAAAGTGATCTTCACTATGAAAAGGTATGTGAGAATTTTCAGTATATTGTTTTGTGTGTGGTGCTTGGGATTGAACCCAGGTCCTTGTGCATGCAAGGCAAGAACTCCGCATCCTTGGGCCAGATAATTCTGTATGTATCTGAAAAAATACTTTTCCTTATCTTTGATGTTTTACACAATTGCCCAGGCTTAGTCTTAAAAATTTAGCTTCATTCTTGTCACAAGACTTGCCCTTTGCCCTATCCATTTGTGATAGTGGAGAATGTTTTCTTCTGAAGTATTGTAAAAATTACTAATCATTAATGTTTTACCCTTCCCCTACAGCTGTTTTCAGAATTGCTATTTGCAAGTAGTGAAAACTGAATAAAAAGCCACGTTATTATCAAAATAGTTTTAGTTGCACATTACAATAAGTTATTTCTCTTTTTTGTTATTTTAGGGAAGGGTCTACAGAGTGTTTAGCGTCTCACTACTAGATAGGACTTGTAGTGATCTGCCTGTTTACAGCCTCCCATGTGTTGAGATTACAGGTGTACATCACCATGCCAGAGGGTGGGGCCAGCACGGAAAGGGTTGGGAATTGAAGCCCCAGCTCCTGTGCCTGCTTGCAGGCACTTTAATCCGCTGAGCTCTTTGGCCAGCCCTTTCTTACATGTTTTGTTACCTTTGAGATAAGAAAAATTGTAAGTGGTGTGTAGGGGAAAATAAATCAATAATGGGGTTATGTTACATTTTCTTGGTTTCAGATTGTTGACAGGATGGGTAAAAGAAATGTGTGAGAGTGAAATGATCAGATTCAGCACATGTGACAAGGGCCTGAGTGACTGTGAGTCAGGAGGTCTCTGTCAGTTCTAGAAGATACCTCTTCCGGTAATGTAGGACCAGCATCCATCTCAGAACCACTGAGGCAAGAGATGCTAATGGTTTGCATACCGGAGGATGTTTTTAAGATTATTGTGGTTAGAGCGTGTCCAGGATTCTACTGATAAGAAGGGATGCTACACTTGATTTTAGTGAAAAGGCCGAGAAGCCTTGTAGCATTCTAGTTTGTCCTAAATGTGGACTTTTGGGTGTTTTCCAGTGATTTTCATATTTCTGTTGGAGGGTCTTACTTGTTGGTGTGTATATCATGTTTTGTGCTGTTTCTCATTTTTTGGTTGACAGTTTTATGTTATTTCAAAATCTGATTTGGGTAGCAAAATATGGTTTCTGACTTTAATTAGGTCAGTGTTGCTTTGTTAATTCACCAACATTAATTTGAGGAACTAGTTATTGTCACTTTCCCAACTAAAAATTTATCGTCTTTTTGTGATACTATTTTTTTTTTAATCGTGTTAGGTAGGTGCTCGACCATTAATCTGTATCACCAGCCACATTGTGTTATAATTAAAAATATGTCTTTATACCTTTTCGTGACAAGCTTTCTAAGACCCTTGGAATCCTGGAGTGATGAATGTTATTTTAAATAGTGAGATTACAGGACTTTTGGTGGGTCCCTAAGTAGTTTCAGGATGGATCTGTTTGACCAAGGCACCAGTGATATTGATATAGGGAGAAAAACTGATTCTGGGTGGGTGACCTCCAAACCATATAGGAAATCTCCAAATGACATAGGGAAAAACGATCTCCTGACCACACCTGCACGAGTTCGTGTTCTCTAAAACCGAAGAATGAATTTTAGGAACAAACGGAGGTTATGAGCAGAATGTATTTATTGAGAGAAAGAAAGCTCCTGTCCAAGAGAGAGACAGGAGGGGGCCCGAGCGGGTAGTTCCCTGGGAAGCTGTCTTTTCCAGGGACTTTTATAGTGTAAAATCATGTGGGGCTAAGGTGGAGAGAATGGGAACTGGCTTAGGTGGATGTGGCGTGGGACAAAACTATGGTCAACCAATGGGATTACAAGCACCATTGCTCAGGTAAAACTGATTAAACCAGTATCAAATGGGAGAGTGAGTCACGTAGTGGGCATGTATATGGGACAGGGTCTTTTCCGGTTGGGGGTTGGAATGGGGGACAGGGTCTCCTCCTGATGGGGGTTGGGCTACTGACTTACTTGGGTCTTTCTAGGTGATTGACACCTATTTAGAATTTTAGCCTTGTGATTACAGGGATTAAAGTGTGTTATGCCAAGTCTGGCTCAAGACTTTTTCTGAAAATGAGATTACTAGAAACTGCTACTATCAAATGAGATAGCCACTGAGTAGGGCTTAGTGACCAGAGTCCCAACTTGACTTGTGTGTTGGTGACCACTTTGTTTATACATGTAGGAGGAAGACAAGTTTATGTTCGTTGTAAATATTTTCAAAAAGCTTTGGTTAAGATTTTATGTCATTATTTCACTGTAACATAGTAAGTCTATAAACGTAAACTTCTAAAATGTACTTCAAATGTATGAGAACAGTGTAGTTGTGTGCACTAGGTTCTTCAAGGTTGTTTTTCTTTTATTTAAAGTGAATAAAGAGAGGATGTTTTGTTTCACTGTGGTAAGGTCAAGACTGCTTTGATCTTGTTCCTCTCAGTTCCAGCCTTCCAGGAGCTGGAAGTACCCTGTGGGGTGAGGTCCAGGAGTCTGTCCTGCCCAGCCTTCGGCCCTTCTCTTCTCTAGGGTGTGTCTCACTGGGTTCAGTGCCCTGTAGGCTTCCTCCTCACGGCTCCCTTTGCTGATGCTCTTCCTTTACCCTCACCTTTTTTTAATCCTCACCTTTTTGAAAGCCACTACCTTTCCAGTCCTGAGGCTTTCCCTCTCAGCCCCAGTGAAAAATTGTTTCACGTATTTCCTAAACCTTCAACTATTCTTTTGATGTCACTCATAAGTCTGTTATAGACTTATTTATTTATTGTCTTTCTGAGACAGGGTTTTACTGTGCAGTTCAGGCTGGCTTTGAGCTCACTTTGTAACCCTCGCTGGTCTCAAACTTTGCAACAGTTCTCTTACCTCAGCCTCCTGAGTGCTGGGATTACAGGTGTGTGCTGCCACACCCAGTTTTATTTTCAAATTATTTGAATACATCACCGTTTCTTTTCCCAAGGAGACTGGATCCTATACAGTTTTATAGACCTCACATGCCCCCCTTAAGTGCCTTGCATGGGAGTTACACCTAGTAATTAGTTATGGGCTAATTACTCATACACTCATCACCCAGTTCCTAATGTCATGGGTTGGGTGTGATTGGATAGCAGATAGCACACAAATACTGTACCTGTATTTTAGGTAATCTGTTTATCTACATATGCTAAGTGTCTCTTTTTAGACTTCCCTTTTGCTTATATATTTGATAGCCTTGATGTTTATTTATTTTGCAGTACTAGGAATTGAGCCCAGAGTTTGCGCTGACTATATCCCTAGCTCCCTTTTATTTTGAAACAGAATCTTGCTAAATCACTAATTCACCCAGGCTGCCTCCCAGAGTGCTGCGATTACAGGCCTATATCACCACACCTTACTAGTTTTAATATTTAAAGTATATTTGGGAAGAGAAAAAGAAATTACTGCAAATGAACTGGCATAAAAGCAAACCCTGAAGAAAATCAGTGGAGGAATCTACAAATGATGACATCATTA